TGCTGGGTTTGCGAGCAGCCCGGGGTGAGCCCGGGCCCGGTGGAGTGTGGTGGGCTGGCCGAAGAGGGAGGCAATGTCCGTGCGTCGTGCTGCAGGTGTCGGTTCTGCTGGCCTCTGCCTGTCTGCCTTCAAGCATGCCGTCATGTCTTCTCGTTCATCTGGAAGATGACAGCAGCAGGGTGTCATGTGGGTTGTGTTGTGACATTTCTATAGAAGTCACAGTTTCATTCCCATATGTGTTTCATTTCATGAGAAGTATTTGTTGCTTCATGGTAATTGGGCATCCAATCATAGAGTCGTAGGTTGGAAAAGACTTCTAAGATCATAAAGTCCAACCATCAGCCCAACACCACCATTCCTACTAAACTATATCCTGAAGTGCCACATCTACATGTTTTTTAAACACCTCCAGGGATGGGGACTCTACCACCTCCCTGGGCAGCCTGTTCCAATGCCTGACCACTCTTTCAGTGAAGAGATTTTTCCTAATATCCAATCTAAACCTTCCCTGATGCAACTTGAGGCCATTGTCTCTTGTCCTATCACTAGTTAGTTGGGAGAAGAGGCCAACACCTGCCTCACTACAACCTCCTTTCAGGTAGTTGTAGAGAGCAATAAGGTCCCCCCTCAGCCTCCTCCAGACTAAACAGCCCCAGCTCCCTCAGCTGCTCCTTGTAAGACTCATATTCATATATGACAGCTAAGACTCATGCTGAAGGGTAGTGTGAAGAAACGTGAGGGTCAATTACCATTATATAGAAAATGACCACAGAGAACCTTCCGTCGACTGTTTTAAGAGATGGCAATACAAATATTTTGAACCAATAAACTCTGTTGCAACCCTTTTATTCTGAACAGTTCATCTTTGTGCTGGAACTGATTTGAAAGTGAAATTAATAAACAGCAAATATGATTGTTTTCACTATCTTTACTTAAAAATGCAAAATCTAGAGAAATGGTATGATGAAAGATAGAAAGAAAAATAATTGTCATAGTCTCGGGATCTGTCAATGCCATGTCGTGGGTATAACAGAAATGTCTGAAGAGGGTCCAGCCCAATATTGAATGTCAGTGTAGCACAGAAGGGTGTCCTGAAAACAGCATCATTGTGTTAGCAAAGTTTTGGGCACATGCTGTGCCTCTAGTTGGTTTATACGAAGCCTCTTGATGGGATTTATTAACGTGGGGAGTGGGTCTAGTAAATCTAGAGTAGAGCAATCCCACACTCATAAATTTTCAGGGAGATGCCTTCTGATTTCCAGTTAGCTCAGAGAGCAATACTGTCATCAGCATAAACCAAGGTAATATGGTGTTAACTGCAGGAGAGCCAGTGCTGTTCAGCTGTTTGCTACCCTGCTTCTGCCCTTTGTTTAGTTATGGCTATGAAATAAGTTGGATCAGCTCACACCTACAAGCTGGAACAGGCATGCATGGCTGGACTGAAAGGGAGGGCAGATCTCTTTGGCAGCGCTCTGCTGTTAGGTCTGTCTGAGCTAAACAAAACAAATCTTATCTACTCCAGCATCTCTGTGCTCTATATCCTTGAGGATACAGATGTCTCCTTATTCATAACAGATGGCTTTTAAAAAACGTGATTTCACTACACAAGGCTTAACTAAGCTATCAGTACAAGCTAATATTCACAGATATCTGAAAAGTGGGGTTTTTTTTTAAAGTCTTGATTTATACTGGAGGAGGTCATACACAATGTGTTTAAGACTGGTGCGTTTTAAATAGGTTCCAAGTATGAGATTCCTGAGAGAAGCAAAAGACTCATCAACACTTCTTTAAGGTCCTTTTTTCTCATGGCCACCTTTGATTGCTAACTTAATTCTCTCTGCTCTAACATAATTCTCAATCATACCGTGGAACAGCACTATCCAAATTACATTAAAAGAGAACACTGCATTTAAATTTAGAAGGTTTTGCTTTACATCTTCATTTTGTTATTAACATTTTCTTTTTCAAAAGTGTTACAATTTGAGCCTGATTTTCTGTTTTATTAAATTCTGCTACTTGCAATGGGGTCTTTTTGAGACTATTAGCAGCTAGTAAATTTGCTTTTTCTCCTTGTGACCAGTTTACAAGGGAATTTGCAGCACTAAAATGACCAGCCTTGCACGCACAGTGCAATGGAGTATCCTTGCTGCTGTCTAAGGCATTAATGGCTGCCCCGTGGCTCAGTAATAGGTTTATCAAGTCGCTGTGCCCATATTCCGCTGCAATATGCAGTGCAGTCTTTCTCCAGATGTTTCTATCATCAATATTTTTATTTTTCCCTGATGTCAGGAGAGTTTTTATGACCTCTGTGTTTCCTTTGATGGCTGCATAGTGCACTGGAGTACATCCATCCATGTCCTTAGCTCCAGATCTTCCTTTTTTAGCTAACAGAACTTTCACGATACTGAGATGTCCTCTCACAGCTGCAGCGTGCAGGGGAGTCTTTTTCTCCTTGTCTTGTGCGTTGGGGTCAGCTTTAGCATTCAGAAGCATTTCTACCATTGTTTTGTCTCCCCTCTCAGCAGCAAAGTGTAAAGGTGATTTTGATTGCTTATCCTTAACGTTAACGTCGGCTTTGTGGAGCAGCAGCTGTTGGGCAACATCAGCGTTACCTCTTTGACTTGCAATGTGCAGGGGAGTAACAAACTCTTTAGTGACAGCATTAATTTTGGCCCCAGCATTAACTAAAAGGCCAACTAATGCTCCTTTATTATGAATTGCAGCAACATGGAGTGGGGTTTCATCGTCTCGGTTCGTAAGGTTAGCTTCCATCCCTTTGCGCAGAAGCAGATTTGCGATGGAAGCAGCCCCAGCTTGAACTGCCAAATGCAAAGCTGTGTCTGAAGCAGGAGTCTTTATTCCGAGGTTTGCTCCCTTTTTGATTAGAACTTCTGCTGATTCAGCTTTGCCTGTTTCACACGCCAGGAGTAAAGGAGTGTACTGCATTTCATTGTAGGCATTTATATCTGTTCCTCTGTCAGTTAAAGCTGCTACAATAGCATGCAGATTTTTCTGTACAGCTCTAAAAAGAGCTGACTCCATTATGTCAGGCGACAAATCTTTCGAATATTCTAGCAGTATTTTGAAGATGGATGGGCGGTTGCTGTTGAGGGCTCTTTCGGCCATGTTGGAATCAACACTGGCTCCGGCTTCTAGCAGTACTTTTGCAGTATTTTCAGACCCCTGAGAAACAGCGTAACTGAGAGCAGTCTGTCCTCTTTCATCCCTTCCATCAGTGGAGGCACCAGCCTTTAAAAGCATTTCTGCCAGACTGCTCTCATCTTTAAGAGCTGCCCTGTGCAAAAAGTTGTGCTGGCTCCTGTAGCTTCTTGCCTCTTCTTTCAGGAGCATCTTCAATATGTGACTGTGGTTGTTCTGTGCAGCCAAATGAAGTGGCGTCTTGCCTGCCATATCCAGACTGTACATATAAGCACCATGTTGAAGAAGCACTTCCACTGCGTCACCATGGCCTTTCTCAGCAGCCCTGTGCAGCGGTGTTCTTCCTTTCTTGTCCTTCACATCTGTCTTTGCACCTTTGCTGATCAAATATTCCATTATCGTTAGATGTCCATTAGCGGCTGCAACATGCAGAAGTGTTTCACTTGAAGAGTTTAGTGCATTAATATCATTATCTTCCAATGTTTTCTCTAACTCAGAAAGATAACCTTTAGCAACTGCATCAAAGATGTCAACATCAGCATGATCTTTTCTGGATTTTGCTGCTCTTGAAAATGGAGTTTCTTTTTCTTTCTTCTTAATAGCCCATTCTTGCTTTTTTCTTTTATGACTGTCCTTTTTTTCCTCTTGCCGTTCTTGCTTTGTTCTCCTAGGACTGTCTTTTTTTTCCTGGTGCTGTTCACTGCTGTTTTCAAACCAAGCTTTGTCTTTTTCAAGTAAATATCCTACCAGTTGTCTTCTAGCATCTCCGATGCTTTCATTTACTTCACTGACATATTTTCTCATCTTGCTATAAAGTTTTGGCTCCACTTGCTTTAAACATGGATAGAAAAAGAGCCTGCAGGCTCGTTCACCTTGAGACATTAGTATGTCTAAAACTCGAGAGTTTTTTTCTGTTCGTGTCCTGTAGAAACTCATGACCATCTTTTTTTCTGGGGTAAAAATACCATTGTTTATCAGCCAGCTCAGAAGATTGTCTGGGTCGTTTATGCCTTCTACTAGCTCTTCTTTTTTAGTCCTTAGAACTTCAATTGCGTATGGATTTGTAAACAGGCTACTTGAATGCATGATCATGTTGATAATCAAAAAATTAATTGAGCTGTTGTTTTGACGTTTGAAGTTAAATATGAAATAGCAAAGCCAGGTTCACATCATTTCACACGTTCTTTTCATAGGACTATGAACAAGCAACCGTTGTAGTTCAGTGATAAATCGTTATAGAATGAGAAATAATCAAAACTCCCTCACCTTTGGTTTTCTAGTTGTTAGAAGTCCTTTGATCTCCGTTCTTCCTTAGCAACAACTAAAATTTAATAACAAAACAAGAATCTGTTATATGTAAAGATATTCCACTTGGAAGACTTCTTCCAGATTTTTTTATACATAATTAGAAAAAAAATGCTTTTGTGAATCTGATGTTTGAATAGAAGTTATTTGTTTATCAAGTTCCTCTGGCCAAGCTGGTTTTTGTCTGTGCTTAAATGACCAGTCTATTAAACATGACAAAAGAAAATTCACAGCACAGTTACTGTTGCCATGATTACATACCTTGTATGATCTTGAATGAAAGAGTACACATTGCCAGCTATGTAGGTGAAAACCCTATAATGTAATGAAATAAAAACATAAAGACCTAGAAAAAAATAAACTGTATAAGCAGCTAGTTATAAGAAGTGATCCAGCCTTTCTAATATGAGTTACAGTCCTGCTGTAACCTGGAGTCTGTCTGGAACTTAATTCTTTTACATGAGGTGGATCAAGGCGTGTGATTCAGTATGTGACATTGAAAATATAATTAAATAGAGCTTCAAATCTGTGAATATGTATAGTCTTCAATATGGGTGTAGGAACTTTGAATCTAGCTGTAATTAATTTAACTTATTGGGGTTAAAACTCCTTATGGAGAGAAGGAAATAATAATCATCTACACATTTTGAAACCAATTGAGAGAGAAATTGAGATTACAGAGTTCTGTAAGAGCGAGAAATAAAATGAGCTGAAAAGCTGAAAGCTTGACCTTATTTAAGCAAGTGGGAGATGTTGCCATCTGTTTCTTAGTTCAGTGCCCTTTCTGTTGGGTCCTGCTGCCTTTGAATGTATTTTCTTTAATAGTATGTACAATGTGACTGATAAGATTTTTAATTTTTTTCTGTTGATTTTGGTTTTATAAGTAAGTTCACAAAGCTTATTCTATTAAAAAAAAAAAAAAAAGATTTATTGAAGGAATAGCCGGGAAAGGCAAGACTTTTAATTTA